CCCTCCCCCACGCTGGAGCACCATCACCCCTCGCCCCACCCCTCATGACATTCGCACCCTTCCTGCCTATGCACCATCTCCCCCCAACCTTCATAATGTCCTCGCCCAACACCTCTCGCCTCACGTCCTCCAGCAAGTCCAACACCTCCTCCCCACACCCACCATCACCCCAACACCTCCCACCCTCACCACACCCACCCTCGCACCTCAAAACCCTCCCTCCCCCTATCCTCCTCTCTCCCCTTATCCTCCTCCTTACGCTGGCTGGCCCTACCCTCCCTACCCCCCATCTCTGTATGGCCATGGGACAGCTGCAACTGCTGCAACTGCTACAACTGCTGCACCTGCTGAACTGCCCACCTCCCCCTCTCACCCCCCCGGCTTCACACCGTTTCCTTCCACGGGTTTCATAGGCCATGTCACCACTGCTAGCTCTTGCATTGATCCTCTGTATGCCAATGCTATTAATGAGTCCTCATTCCAGTACTCCGAGTCCTCCTCCTCCTCAAAGCCCCTTGAGTTCATCCTTGATAGCGGAGCCACACACACGGTCCTTCGTGACGCAGGCACGCTCCTCCCCCTCTCCACCCCCTCCACAGTACTTGGGGCTGACTCCAGCTTTGCAATACAAAGCCGCTACACCTCCACACTCCCCTGTCCCCTCTTTCCCTCAGGTACTGTCACAGGTCTCTATATCCCCTCCCTTCGGAACAACTTGGTATCCCTTGGTGCCCTCTCCGACTCAGGTGTCACCACCATATTCCCTGGTCACAAAGCATATTGCGACTTATTTCACACCTCCTCCGGTCGCTTCCTCTGCCGTGTCCATCGGTGCCCCTCCACCCACATGTACACCTTCCGCATCCCCCGTCCCACCCTTCACCAACTCTCCACACCCCATCCCCCCGCCCCTTCCCCTCCTCTCGAACTCCCCCCTACCCCTCCCCCTCCCCTTCCCCCCCCTCCTCCCCCTCCCCCTCCCTCTCCCCCTCCCCCTTCCCCTCAACCTCTTCCTTCCCCCTCCCCTTCCCCTCCCCCCGCATCTAACCCACCCTCCCCCTGTCACTGTCGTGATCTCACACACCCCACCATTCTCCTCCACCATCGCCTTGGCCATCCCAACTTTGCCACCCTTCGCAGATCCATCCTCACTAAACTCCTTGACGGCCTCCCCCTTACCCTTCCCCCCCTCCCTCCTTCCCCCTCCCCTCCTTGCTCAGTTTGCGTTGAAAGCAAGCTAAAGCAACAACCACATACGAGTAACCCCTCCTTTTCCCTCCAACCCCTTGACCTCGTCCACATGGACCTTTGGGGCCCCAACCCCTCCCCCACCAGGCAAGGACATCGCTACCTCCTCATCCTGGTGGATGATCACAGTCGATACTCCTCCGTCACCCTCCTTCGTACGAAGGCGGAGGCCCCGGCTGCCATCACAGCCTGGGCTGAACAAGCACGCAACCACTTTGGTCGCCCTGTTCGCCGCTTCCATTCCGATGGAGGCGGTGAGTTCCTCAACCGCACCCTGTCCTCCTACTGCACCTCTCACGGCATCCTCCACACCTACACTCTCCCTCACTCCCCTCAGCAGAATGGTGTGGCGGAGAGCCGCGTTCGGGAGATCACCAAAACTGCCCGGTGCCTTCTCGTTCACGCCTCCTGCCCACCTTCTCTTTGGGGCTATGCCATCCTTCACGCTGCCATCCTCACTAACCTCTACCCCCACCCCTCTCGTCCCACTTCCACCCCCACCGAACTATGGACCTCCAGCAAGCCAGATATATCCCCTCTGCGCGTGTGGGGTTGCAAGGCGTATGTCCTCATACACCCTGCCGACCGCCCACGTGCACGTGGAAAGCTTGCGTCTCGCACTCTCCCCTGTGTCTACCTTGGACACAACACCACCTCACCTGACTACCTTTTCCTCCACCCCCCCTCAGGCCGCCTCATCCGTAGTCGGGACGTGGTCTTTGACGAGGCCACCCCGTACTACACCTCTTCCTCCGCCCCTAACCCCCTTCCCCCACTTCCCCGGCCCCTTCTCTGGACTGACACACTGCCCCTCCTCCCGTCCCCTGCCATGACCCCTCCCCCCCCCTCCTCCACCTCTCCCCCCCGCCCCCCTCTCCTCCAGCTCCTCCGGCGACATCCTTAACCCACCCCCCCCCTCCCCCTCCCACTCCACTACCTCACCTTCCGCTGCAACTCACCTTCCTACTCCTCCTCTCCCGCCCCCTTCCCCCCCCCTTCCCCCCCCCCCCTCCCCCCCCCCCCTCCTCTAACCCGCCCCCCCCTCCACCTCCCCCCCCCCCTTCCCCGGCGCCCCTCCCCTACCCTGGTCCTTCCCCGCTATCCCCACACCCGCTCCCTAGACCCCATCCTTGGTTCCCCACAGACCTCCCCCCCCTCCCTCCTCGCCCTCATCGGTACTCCCCTCCCCCCCCGCTTCAGCCCCCTCACTCCAGATCCACTGCGCAACCGCTCCGCGCTCCTGACTGCACCACCACGTAGCCGAGCAGCAGCACTTCCATGCCTCAGACTCGACCTCCAGCGCAGCTGTCTTACATCTTCACCACCCCCTCTACCTCCTCCTCTCTCCCCTCTCCTCTATGAAGATACCCACGACGAACTCCTTTTCCTCCACCTCCTCGCGCCCTCCATCGCCCCCATCGTCCGCACCATGGCGGGCACTCCAGTTCTTCTTTTCTCGGGCACCCCCACCATCTTCGAACCCACCACGTATGAGGAAGCTATTGCCTGCCTCGACGCACCGCTCTGGATTGAAGCCATGGTCAAGGAGAGCAACGCCTTCATCCACAACCGCTCCTTCATCGACGTCCCTCGCCCTGCCAAGACCAATGTCGTCAAGGGCAAATGGCTCTTTCGTGTCAAGCTTCTCCCTGGTGAAGACCCTGTCTACAAAGCTCGCTATGTGGCGAAGGGCTTCACGCAGAAACACGGCTTTGACTTCTTCGAAACATACTCCCCCACTGCTACCCCACCGGTCGTTCGGGTGTTCCTTGACTTCGTCGGCAGACGCGGCATGCTGCTACACTCCATGGATGTCACTACCGCCTTCCTCCAAGGCGACCTACACGAACTCATCTTCATGGAACGCCCCAAAGGTTTTCACGCTCCACATGACCCGTCCACCGTTTGGAAGCTGCTGCGGCCCGTCTACGGCCTCAAGCAGGCACCACGGGAGTGGCATGCCAAGCTCTCTTCCACCCTTCGCGAGCTTGGTTTTCGCCCCTCCCGAGCTGCCTCCAGCCTCTTCCTTCGGACGGCTCCGTCCCCTTTCTACATTCTTGTTTATGTCGACGACATGCTACTAGCTGCCGACACAGATGCTGAGATGCAGGAGGTCAAGGACGAACTACAGCGTCGGCTCGCCTGCAAAGACCTGGGGGAGGTCCGCAACTACCTTGGCATGGAGATCACCCGCGACCTCACGGCTAAGACTATCTCCCTCTCTCAGTCCTTCTACATTGAGAAGGTCCTTGAGAGGTTTGGAATGTCCAAAGCCAAGCCCATCGCCACTCCGCTTGCAGTTGGGCATCAGCTTTCGCCCCCTGCCACCCCCACCGACTCCTCGAACCCCTATGCAGAACTTGTCGGGGCCCTGATGTATGCCATGGTCTGCACCCGCCCCGACCTTGCCTACCCAGTCAGTGTTCTGGCGCGGTTCGTTGGTGTCGACAAACACACGGAGGAACACATGACGGCGGCCCGCCGTGTCCTCCGCTACCTTCAGCATACGAAGCATTACTCTCTCACCCTCGGTGGAGCGGACCCGCCGGTCCTCACTGGCTTCAGCGACTCGTCCTGGGCAGATTCCCAACCTGACCGTCGCAGCTCACAGGGATATGGTTTCTCCCTTGGGAGCGGCCTCATCACCTGGCGCTCCACCCGCTCCTCCTCCATCGCCCTCTCCTCCTGCGAAGCCGAATTATACGCGGTCACGATGGCGGCACAGGAAGCACGCTGGCTCAGCTATCTCCTCACCGACCTTGGCTCACCACAACCATGTCCCACCCTCTGGTGTGACAACGCCAGCACCATCCACCTCACCAAAGAAGCTGTCTTCCATGGTCGATCCAAGCATATCGAACTCCGCCACTACTTCGTCCGCGACCTTGTCCAGGATGGCCACATCACCGTGCGCAAGATTGACTCCTCCTCCAACCCCGCCGACATTTTCACCAAGGCAATCTTACCCCTCCTGGGCCTTGCCCCCCATGGTGACTGATTCAGGGGTTGCTGTCTTATCTCATCCTGGTTTAAGGATCTCTGCAGGCTAAGGGGTTGTGTTAGATTATACTACTCTTCTGTATCCTGCATTGATCCTATAAACCCTAGGATAGAGATAGGCACCCAAACAATGTTTGGGTGCACACCTAGGGTTAACCCTAGGTGGGGGTTGGAACCCAACCTTGGCCCAATTATTGGACCCCAAGGTTGGGTTGGAGGATTATTGGCCCCCCAATAATGTTGGCCCACTTTGACCAACATTATTGGGACCCCCCAATAATTCTCCAACCCAACTTATTGGTGGGGGCCAATAATGTTGGCTAGGTACCAACCACCCCTCTCTTCCTAAGCTCCAACTATGTAAGCCCTCATCATTCTTAATCAAGTTATCGGTTCAATTCCCACATAGTGGATTCAATTCACCGTTCTAAGGCTACGGCAGCTAGGTGATACGCCACAGAGGGCAGCCAGCTTGTGGGAGCAGGGATCTCTCATTGGTAGTGGCTGAGGCTGAGGCACGCAAAGCCTGCGGGCAGACAGGGAAGTGCAGAAAGAAGAAGGGTAAGAGGACAAGGGAGGAAGCAGCCAAGGGGTGAGGTGAGAAAAAGGAGATCTCCGACAGTACCTTGCAGGCTCCAAACGCTGATTTTGCTGTCCATGCCACTGCTGGCAATGATGGCCCCACTTTGTGGGTGAAAGGGTGTGCGTGTGTCTGAGAGAGCGAGTGGGGGAGAGAGTGTATGAGAGCAAACCTTGCAGGCTCCACACGCGGATGCTACTGTCCATGCCGCAGCTGGCGATGATGGCTTGGTCACCCGGATGAAAGTCCTGTGAGATTCAGATGAGAGACATGCATGAGATGCATGCATGCAAATGGAGGCATGCAGGCACACAAATGCACACACATTTGCACAAAAAAGAGAGAGAGAGAGAGAGAGAGAGAGAGAGAGAGAGAGAGAGAGAGAGAGAGAGAGAGAGAGAGAGAGAGAGAGAATGCGCTTGCAGAACCGAGACCCCACGGCCCGCAAACCCCCAGGCTGGGCGGCAAGGGAGGCACAGAAGCGGAAGGAGAGGGACTACTACCGACACACTGAACACGTGGTGTTCTGCGCTCTGGCCGTCGAGACCTATGGGGCAAACGCGCCCCCCACGACGGCGTTCCTGAAGCTGCTGGCCACAGCAGCAGCTAGGAACCGCTTCAGGGCCAGCCCCTTGGCGAAATCTGCCAAGAAGATGGCCTGCCACTTCAGCCAGCGCTGGTCAGTGGCCCTCCAGCGCTCCCAGGCGAACGCCCTGCACACCAAGGCCAGGGTTGGGATTGAGGCAGCACACCCCCAGATGGCAGCGGACCCCTGGCCGCTGCACCTGGGGGACATCCTCCACACGCTGGAGGGCTAGAGGGTCACTTGGGGGGGGGGGGGGGGGGAAAGAGGGGTGAGTTGATGGGCTTATGGGATTGAGGTTATCATGGATAGAACTGCATGTCTATACCCCTGCTGATTTAATACAACGGACCATTTGAGAAAGAACGCGGTTGCACACACATTTGCAAAAAAAAAAAAACAAAGAGAGAGAGAGAGAGAGAGAGAACGCGGTTGCACACACATTTGCAAAAAAAAAAAAAAAAAAAAAACAGTTCATGACATAGAGCACTTCATCTCCTCTCCGCTATGTCGCGGTACTCGAATGCAGACACCACTCCTACTCCACAACATAGAGTACCGCGCTTAGCACTTCGTTTCGATGCCCGTCAGTCCCGCTAATGATGGCCACGTGTAGAGAGGGTATTTTTGTGACGTCTCAAAAACGACGCCCGTCAGTCCCGCTACTAATGGCCACGCGCACACACTCGCACACAGCCGCAGCGACTCGTCCTTTACTCTAGTGCGCCGGGTGTGCCCCGTCGTACATGGTTAGTGAGAATAACGAAAGTTACTGTACCGCGATAAGCATTCGTTTCGCTGCCCGTCCGTGCCGCTCATGATCGCCACGCACACACACCCTGGTTCGTGTTCCACAGCTGCAGCGACTCGTCCTTTATTCTAGTGCACCGTGCGTGCCCCGTACCATACATGGCTAACAAGAATAGTGAAAGTTACTGTACCGCGCTGAGCACTTCATTCCGATGCCCGTCTGCCCTGCTCATGATGGCCCGCACACGCCCGTGTCCGTGTTCCACAGCCGCAGCCAGTCTTCCTTGCCTCTAGTGCACCGTTATCAACGACACCACAGGCCACTTTACCGTGCTGTGCACTTCGTTTCGATGCCCGTCGCTCCCGCCCATGATCGCCACGCATACGCCTGTGTCCGTGTTCCAAAGCCGGAGAGACTCGACCTCGCCTCTAGTGCACCGTACATAGTTATCAAGAACAACACCAGTCACCCGTACCGCACTGAGCACTTCGTTCCGATGCCCGTCGCTGTGTTCCACAGCCGCAGCGACTCGTCCTTCTCTCTCTGGACAATTGACCGCATGACATGACAGATGTATATACGCATGTGTTTACCGTACCGCGCTAAGGACCTCATTTCGATGCCCGTCGCTCCCGCCCATGATCGCCACACATACGCCCGTGTCCGTGTTCCACAGCCGGAGAGACTCGTCCTTGCCGGCTGAGAGCAGCAGGGCGGGGTGGGTCGGATGCACCCTCACCTCGTTCACCGCTCCCCCATGCCCTATGAAACTCTGAGAGAAGGGGGGAGTTGGGGGATGAGAGGAGGAAAAACGAAGGGCAGCTTATGCACGTCTCCCTCTCTCTCTCGTCCTTGCCGGCTGAGAGCAGCAGCACGGGTTGCACCCTCACCTCGTTCACTGCCCCGCCGTGCCTGATGAAACTCTAAAAGAAGAGAAAAAGGGAGAGGAGGTGTGGGAGAGAGGAAGAACGAAGAGCAGCTTATGCATGCCTCTCTCCCTCTCGCCCTTGCCGGCTGAGAGCAGCAGAGCAGGATGGCTCGGATGCACCCTCACCTCGTTCACTGCTCCCCCATGACCGATGAAACTCTGGAGGGAAGGAGGGTGTGTAGAGGGAGTTAGAGTTCCGGAGCCTGTCCGAGCCACGCATTATCAGCCTCAGCGACTCGTCCTTGCCGGCGGAGAGCAGCAGCGGGATGGAATGGGTGTACCCTCACCTCGTTCACTGCCCCACCATGCCCGATGAAACTCTGAATGAAAGAGAGGGGAGAAGCAGGAAAGGCGCAGAGGCAACTCAAAGGCAGCTCTCGTGTATGTTTCCTTGCCGCAGCAGCAGGGCGGGGTGGTTCGGATGCACCCTCACCTCGTTCACTGCGCCGCCATGGCCTATGAAACTCTGAAGAAGGGGTGAGGGAGTGAGTGAAGGGTTTGGGAGGATGAAAGACAAGGAGCAGCTTATGCCTGCATCCCTCTCACTCTCTTCCTTTCCAGCTGAGAGCAGCAGGGCGGGGTGGCTCGGATGCACGCTCATCTCGTTCACTGCCCCTCCGGTGCCAGTGAAACCCTGGAGAAAGAATAGGTGGAAGAGTAGGTGTGGAAGAGGAAAAACGAAGAGCAGCTTTTACCCAACTTTCTCTCACTCTCGTCCTTGCTGGCTGAGAGCAGCAGTGAGGGGTGGGTGGGATGCACCGACACCTCGTTGACTGCGCCCCCAGTGCCAGTGAAACTCTGGAGGAGGGGAGTGGGGGACGGGAGGGTGGGAGAGGCAGAGGGGACAGAGAATGATTGAATGCGCTCGTGTGGAGGAACCCCAAAAGCAGCTCATTCCCTTGTTCACTCACTCACTCACTCACTCAATCACTCATTCATCCACTCATTCACTCACTCACTCCCTCACTCACTCACTCACTCACTCACTCCCTCACTCACTCCCTTACTCACACACTCACATGCACAACTGTCTCTCGCCAGCAGTCGATGATCCGAATGACTCCGCTGCTGCCACTAGCTGCCAACAGCGGCCGCCCCTGCTGCCCCCTCATCCATGCCACTGTGTAGAACGACTCATCCTTCTGGTGATGCACATGCCACGTGGGAGCAATACAGAGACGTGCATAAGAACAGAAGAGAGATGTGAATAAGGCGTACACACGCATAAAGGGGGGACACGATCAGTACTGCTGCTCACCCTCTCATCCATGCTACCGTGTAGAACGACTCATCCTTCTGGTGATGGATATGCCACATGGGAGCGCAGCGCATGGACGCAAACCAGAGACGCACATAAGAACAGAAGAGGGACACGACAGGACATCATAGGACCACATACAACTACAAGCCCTCATCCATGCCACCGTGTAGAACGACTCATCCTTCTGGTGATGGGTATGGGATGGGATGGCAGCACATGGGAGCAAACCAGAGACGCACATCAGAACAGAAGAGAGACACGGCAGACAGGACATCATAGGACCACATACAACTACAAGCCCTCATTCATCCATCCATGCCACTATGTAGCACGACTCATCCTTCTGATGATGGATATGCGATCGCAGCACATGGATGCACATAAATAAGTACATGTGGATCCACATAACAGCACGCACATGGCATGGAATGGCATGGCAGCACAATAGGACACAATGAAACAGCACAATCCGCAAATGCCCCCTTACAGTACATTTTCATCAAGGAATAGTTGCACGACGATGGTTGCACCTCCAGGCTCGCACTTATACACTGTAACCTGCAGTACAAGCACCATAATTAAGTACATTCATCAAGAACAATAATCAAGCACAACACTCTGGCACCTCAGAAATTGCCTTACGCATATCAAATGGAAAGAGTCAAGGTTGCGAAAGAGCTTCTTTCATGTTTTCTTCTTTCATGCACAAAAAGCAGCAGACAAGCAAGCAACTCCCCCCCGGCTCCAAAACACACATTCGGCCGTTACTTTCCCTGAATCAATTGCAGCGTACCCTGTTGCCGGACACACTAGCAAACATGTCGAGGTAGCGAGGGTCGATCATGTTAAAGCATCCCCCGAACACGGGCTTCTTGCCTTCACTGACCTGCCCGGGAGGGTGATAATGAGGATGGGAGGATGCTTATAAGGGGGACAACAGGAGAACATGTCGAGAAAGCAAGGAGGACTGATGGTGTTGAAGCATCCCCCGACCCGAACACGGGCTTCCGGGCCTTCACTGACCTGCGAGTGATGCGGGGAATTACAGAACAGAACGTCCAAGAACATCAACTTGCTGCTCTGAACGCTATCCATTAACCGTCACCTTATCCGCATTCAACTTCATGACTGTTCGAGTTTGATCATCCGATCAACCTCGCCCACTTTTCTTCTTTAAACGCAATCATCCTCACGCCCTACGTGCCGCTCTGAACGTTGAATACCAACCATTATCGCATCCGCATTCACCTTCATGACTGCTTCGAGTTTAATAATTCCATCATCCTCGCTCACTGCTCTGATAGCATTAAACCTCACCTCCCGCATCAACCATCGTCGCATCCACATTCACCTTCATAACGGCTTTGTACTCGCGTCGCTTTCCTCGCAACGCAGCGCCGCGATTCGGACCTCCCGGCGCCATGCCGAAATTATTGCGTTCTACACTGAAGCGTTTTCTAAATCTCACTGAAAAGAATCGCGTCACGCTCTACACCGAGTACGGAATATTTAGAAACTATTGTACGAAGCAGGGAACGAATTCACATGTTACTGAGAAACTTGTGAATGGAAAATGCTCGCCGACCCAAAGGACTTGAGATTATCCACGCGCACGCACGCTCGGCGCTCTTGGCCTCCTTAAAACTGACGGCACGACAGCAATCACCACTGCGCGGTATTCACTCTTATTCTGAAAACACCAGATGCTTGTCTAAATTCGGGTCTGCCGCATCTTATGGCAAATCAAGCTACGGCAACGTGGGGTTTTGACGACTCCGTTTTGTATGGTGCTATGCGACTCTCAGATATACGGAGTGTTGCACAACGTTACAGTGCGGTGGAATGGTTTTCGCCAATAAGTGCTCCTTGTGTTGGGAATACTGCATCACGAACACTGGGCTCAAAATTTCGTGCCACTTCGCAAACCAGTATTTTCGCAAGTCGCGACAGATTGCGACACAAATCAAGCGAAGAACAATGCGAACTGTCGTCCGGTTACCACGTTGCACGTGTATATTTGGAGGGGAAAGCGAACCTAGTGTTTCCTGGTTCCATGGTCTTTTCACTTCCTACCTGGCTAGCATCAACTTCGCGCGAACCTTTCGCGTCGCCCTCTGCAGTAAGCGTTCGGTAGCGAAGAGAGCCGTTGCTCGAGATTCCCTTCTGCTGCTGTCCTCTCCGTCGAGGTGAGGCGACACATCCGTTGCTCTGAGAAATGGATTCTCTATTAGTTATCGCTCTGGGAGTCGAACTGTTCAGTGCGTTTAGGAGGGTTTTTAGGGTTCCATTGACGAATGTGGTTCAAGCACAGAGGTAACTGACGACTCTATATGCTCTTCGTTCGAGTTTTCATTCGACCGCAAAAGTTTCTACCGTGTTCGCAAAATCCTCAACCCCACCGTCCCCAAGCAAATCCTTTCGGTGTGATTCTGCTCCCCCCTCCGCACCCTTTTCACGCCCTTTCTTTCCTTTCGCCTCGTAACCATCCGGCCCATTCCGCATCCATTTGTCATCTTTCCTTCACTTTCCCGTTCAACCATGGACTCTTGCGCCATCTCCCAACCCCATCCTTGCTTTTCAAAGCCTGCCGCTATGCCGTCTCTTCTCGCCTTTGCTACGTTCCCTTGACGCATACGCGCCAATCTCACTTGCACCAGTTCAATTCAATCTCCCCATCCTCCCTGCACTGTCCCGATTCTCCCCACGTCCCTTCCCTGCACTGTCCCGTTTCCCCCCATCCCTCCCTGCACTGCCCCGTTTCCCCTCACATCGCTCCCCGCGCTGTCCCGTTTCCCGCCATCGCTCCCCTCACTGTTCCGCCTTCCACCCCCCATCCTTCCCCTCACTGTTCCGCCTTCCACCCCCCATCCCTCCCCTCACTATTCCGCCTTCCACCCCCCATCCCTCCCCTCACTATTCCGCCTTCCACCCCCCATCCCTCCCCTCACTGTTCCCCCTTCCACCCCCCATCCCTCCCCTCACTGTCCCGCCTTCCACTCCCCATCACTCCCGTCAATGTCACAGGAATATCCACTCCAATCCAAAAGGACGGCGTTCCCGCGTTTCGCGTCAATGTCGGAGCATCCCGCGTTTTCTCTGCTCCAAGCCTCCCGGCACACGCTCAGCAGTTCAAGGTCACACTCCTCGCCTTACCACCAACAGTCCAGCCTCGCACTTCATAGCTGCTCTAGCCCGCAGCAGCACACAACACGCCCCACACTACACGCCCACACGCTCAGCAGTCCAACGTGACACTGCTTGCCGCACCAGCCCACAGTCCAGCCTCGCACTTCATAGCTGCTCTAGCCCGCAGCGTGCACAACACGCCCAGCATGCTTTCATGCCGCATGCCCATCGGCCACCATGGCACACTCAGCAGGCTGCACACACCTGCCAGCAGAGAGACCAGCTGCACACCCACTCTCACCTCCAGCCATTTCCCTCTTCCTTCTGCTGCTAACTGCTCTGCTCTCTCCTGCTGCCGACCATCTACCGCAACCATGGCTACCTCGAGCAGCCATAGCTGCATCAGCAGTATGGGTTACAGCAGCATAAGTTCTAGTAGCAGCACCACGGGTTACAGCAGGGGCCGGTTGTCAGGGTTGGGATTTGAGACGCCAGGGGGAAACCCGTGCGTAGCAGGCTCAGGGGCAAGGCGAGGGGTTGTTGCTCACGCGAGACGCAAGAGGGTGAGTTCGTAACATCAATTCATGTCTTCGCATTAGTGAAAGTCCTAGCAGTTGCAGCACGGGTTACAGCAGGGACAGGCTGTGAGGGTTGGGATTTGAGATACCAACGAAAAAGCTGTGCGTATCAGGCTCAAGGGCAAGGCGAGGGGTTGTTGCTTACGCCAGACGCAAGAGGGTGAGTTTCTGCCTGTTTTCGCACTAGCATAAGTCCTGGCATTAGCAGCACCGGACACAGGGTCACAGCAGGGTCGGGTCAGGGTTGGGATGTGAGACTCCAAGGGGAAACCCGTGGGTGGAAGGCTCATGGGCAAGGCAAGGCAAGGGGTTGTTACTCACGCCAGACGGAAGAGGGTGAGATTTCAACCGTTTCTAGTTTTCTCTTGTGGGTTTTGCTGCGAGTGCGTTTGCCTGCAGTCACTTTCACTGCAGGTGCTTTTTTGCCTGCAATCACCTTGTCTGCTAGTGTACATGCATATGGCAAGTGTGCTATCGGTTTGTCAATTAGTGTGCACAAATTTTTAGGCGCTCAAATCTAGTGTGCAATAGTGTATGTGCTCTGCTTATGCATCTCACTCTTTGTGTGCCTCCTGCTCTCCCAATCTTGCACCTTTATGCTCTTCGATTGTGCCCCAGTATGGTTTAAAGATTAATTGAAAACCAGACACGGCCAACTGGCTTTCAGAATTCTTAATTTTCCTTGCTCTCCCCGTCTCGCATTTTCACTCTTCTCGTTCTTGCCCCAGTACGCTTCATGTGCAACCATGCACACTCCCATTAGGAATCTGAATGCCATGTAATCTCGTGGTTTCTTCCCGCCTCTGTTTTGTCACCTTCTCATCCCCTCCTCTGTTTTGTCACCTTCTCATCCCCTTTACAGAAGAACCCGCAACCGGATAAGCTCATGGATGGTGTAGAACAGCTCGTCGACGAGTACGACATTGAACAAGTCGCGTCAGCCCCGCAGCTCTCAGCTGATGACGTGGCAGCAGGGGAGTTGTCGCTGGACTGCAACCGATTCCTGATTGGCCGCAGCATGATCAACGACCGTGTGAGCGACCACGAGGAGGGAATCACGTGGCTGCGGTCGGCCCCGCGCCTGCTGTGGGTGGCTCGGGAGAGGCGTGCCGAGGCTGATGCGGCGGAGAGGCAGAGGAGGCGGGAGAAGTAGGGAAGATGGACAAAGGGTGGACACTTCCTTTTCTTTCATGTTGGCTTTGAAATGGTACAGTAACTGAAGTGCTACCATACAAGCATTCTGAATTTAGAATGGTACAGAACAAGTATTTTCAGGACCAAGTCCGTGAGGAAGCGATTTCGTGGCTGCAGTCGGCCCTTGCTTTGTGTGGCTCGGGAGAGGCGTGCAGAGGAGGCTGATGCTGCAGACAGGCAGAAGAGGCAGGAGGGAGGATCGGCAATAGGTGGACGCTTGGTTGTGTAACGTGTTGGCACTTGAATGAGACTTCAAAGAAACGTTTTATCAATCTAATGCAGGCGACGGTGTGGACCCCTACAGTAGTTGGCGCCTCTATGCGGTGTGGTCCCTGCGAGTTGCGAACAGCAATAAAACACCCAGCAAACAGTTTGAGATCCTGCAGCATATCTTCCAACAGTTCCTACTTGCCTTCAAAAGCTTTATGGGAAGTGAAGATGTCCGATAATTTTCCCAAAGAACGCCCCACTCTCAGCAAACAGCCCCTCTGTTGCATGGCGTCAGCACTTACGGTAATATTTGTTAGCAACACTGATGCTTTTGTATCGTATCTGACCGGCGGTGCTCCAAGGCTCCTAGCTTCTGGATGACACTTGCCCCAAAGTTCTTCCGCATTCTTGCTGAAAACCATAAACTTAAGCTTGTCGCCTGTGCCCCCTTGCGGCAGGGGAAAAACATTTATTATCATTCTGGCCTTATGGCTGCTATTTTAATAAGAATTGTAGGTTCACTGTACAGTGCTACGACCTTAGGTGTGCAGTGTGGTGCAATGCTGAAGTGGGTGAGGTCTTTATTCGTCAACTGGTGTCAACCTTGAGGTGTCGAAGCGGACGAATGCCACCAAGGCAAGCGACCGCGAATCATGGTTGAGTCACGAGCGGTGCGACTTCAAATAAACCGCCCATGCTGAACAATGCATTCCTCCCCGCCATTTGCTGATTCCAGCCACACTGATATTTGCCTGATTCCAACCTCCCTCCCATTCGCTAATTCCAGACACGCTGGCATTCGCTACATCCTGACTGGCATGGGACATCAAAGGACATCAGTTTTGCGATCGGATGTCAGAGAGGTAGGGCCTAATCACATTCGCTCCTCTGGCATGTCAAGTTCACCTCGCCACGAACCTTGACATCCATTTGCCGTACAGTTCCGCGCATGGCCCGAGTGACGTCACGTTTCCCGTTCGTATGTATTATCCAGTTCTCTTGCTCACGGAAGTCGATTGGTGCTTGTGGGCAGGTGGATCGTACTACTGTACTTGCGAAAGCAATAAAAATCTTTTGAGATGTTACAAAGCATACCCGAGATAATTCTGTACCGTTCGATGCGTAATATTTCTTTTGCGGGCAGAGCAGTGCCAAGTAGGGTGGGGTATTGTTTGTATATCAAGGTGTGCAGAAAACTGTAACAGATATCAACTCTCCTTCTGACACGCCCTAAGCTGCGTCAGCAATGCACAGCACAACAGAGCACTGGCGCCAAGTCATCGTGACACAACAACTGTGCCACGGAGGCAGGAAATGGGGAACGAGCCGCGTCGGAAAATCAAACCCCTGGCCTATCTCACGAGACAGTCACAGTGTCACTGTAGTGAAAGTTTGGTTGGGGGACAACCCAGCGGCGTCAGCGGTGAGATTGGAAAAGCTACTACTAGCTTTTCTAGTATAGACGAAAACCTGGATTGTTTCTCCCGACGATGCTCTATCATATACAAGCAGGCGACTCAAGGTACAAACTCCAACTCCGCGTAGAAATTAGTACTGCCAGCTTTGCGCATACATTGCGATATTTCGCTATCTGTTTATTTTTTCTCCCCAAAGTTATCGCGTGCACGTCCAACAACTAGAAGTTATCCAGGCCGGTCACGCAAGTACATCGCGGAAAAGGGAAATTGCGATTTTGGGGGTCCGAAGGTTTTTCTGCAAAAAGAGTGCGGTTTTATTGCGCCAAGTATCCAGAAAACGACGACCCCAAAAAGCAACTCTGAATACTCCTTTTGCGAAAGCGAATACCAGAGCCAAAAGTTCACTCGAAAGTAACGTTAGGATCGAAGCTTTGGTTTCGAGCGGTCAAGATGGATTGAAAGCGGTTACATCTTTTGTTTGTTTTCACGAAACCTAACGAGAATGTGAGGGTGGATACAACGACTTCGTGAATATGAGTTTCATTTTCCACACAATTGGATTGTACACGTGGTCACAACACATTCGCGTTCTTCAAAACTGCATACCAACAACCAAACCTAAACCACACATGCACACCTGGTTGGACCTTAAGGGTGACGAATGATCGCAAAAAAATCCCATTCAGCCAATCATTGTTGCTGCTGTGTCAAATCAGGGAATCACCACTATCTGGTATCTACACGTCAGCACAATATATCTCCAACCCAAGCGAACTTCTTCCTCATCCTCCTCACACTTCTACTCCGCCCGTGCAAATACCTTCATCAACCTTCAGTTTACATATTTTCTGTTCACAACTTCGTGTTCAATGTTCACCTAGTGCTTAGACTCCTATCGCTCACGATCTCCTGGGGCACCATCAGTCAAGTTTGTATTCATTTCAATACAGAGGCCATGTTCATATCAATTTCTTCGATCATACCCATATTCGTCCGTATCAGACGTCATAGCCTCTGCCTGGACTTCTTCCCTACCCTTGCAACCTCCCATTCCCGTTTGCAGATCAACGGATATCATAACTATGGTGGACGACAATCGTGCACTTAGCGACGTGAAGGCGCATGCTCATCAACTATTCCGATGAGAACCGTATTCGTTCTGCTGATGAGTTTACCTTAATCTATATGAGATGGTATTCGTTTCCCTGGTTAGGCATGCATTTTTCCTAAGCAATAGTATTTGTTTCGCAGGTGCCGTATGCATTTGTTTCTGCGCAAAGGTTTTCGTTCGCTGGTGAGGAATACGTTTTTCTATTCGATGGTATTCGTGTCGCCGGCAATGTATGCATTTTTTTCAGCGCGATGGTATTCGTTTTGCTCGTGTGGTATACGTTTTTATCCACGCGATGATATTCGTGTCACTGGTGTGGTATGCATTTTTTTCTACACGATGTGTTGGCCGGCGTGTCTAGTCACGCCCTGCGTCATAGCTAAACGTTGCGTTAACATGCGTCGGATCTAATTCTAATATTCATTGATGATTTCGTCCCATCCCCTTCCTCTCCTTCTCCCCCCAACCCCCAACATTGTCAGAACATATCTGTAGCTTATACTGCTGTGTAGGCTGTAGTGGGGTATCCCATAGGGGGTACAACCCAGTTAGGGTTTCATATTTGTACTGCTTTCATTCATAGTTCATCTCATTCCTGCTTACTCATTTACACATGGTATAGAGCTAGGTCCCTCCAGGACCGAAATTTTTTTTGGGCCCACCGAAGCGCGCCCCCGAGGTGCGATTTTTTTTTAGCGACCCCTCGAGTCGCCCTCTCCCCTGCGGCCTCGCCGCCCACTCTGTCGCGGCCCCGCCCTGCTCCTTACGCGGCCCCGCCGCCTGCTCCTTACGCGGCCCCGCCCCGGCCCTTACGCGGCCCCGCGTCGCCTCCTACGCGGCCCTTACGCGGCCCCGCGCCGGCCCCTTACGCGGCCCTTACGCGGCCCTTACGCGGCCACGCCGCCGGCTCCTTACGCGGCCCCGCGCCGGCCCCTTACGCGGCCCTTACGCGGCCCTTACGCGGCCACGCCGCCAGCTCCTACGCGGCCCCGCGCCGGCTCCTTACGCGGCCCGTCCCCGGCCCCTACGCGGCTCCGCGCCGGCTCCTACGCGGCTCTTACGCGGCCCCGCGCCGGCCCCCCCCCCTTACGCGGCCCTGACGCGGCCACGCCGCCGGCTCCTACGCGGCCCCGCGCCGGCTCTCACGCGGCCCCGCAGCTGGCTCCTACTCGGCCCTGCAGCCGGCCCCTTAAGCGGCCCCACCGCCGGCCTCCTACTCGGCCCTGCCCCGGCTCCTATCACGGCCCCGCCCCGGCTCCTTCGCGGCCCTGCCCCGGCTCCTACGTGGCCCTACCGCCGGCCCTGACGCGGCCCCGCCCTGTCTCACTTCTACGCGACCCAAGCCGCCTGTCGCCGAGCAGCCCGGGACCCGAGCCGCCCTGGAGCCGAGCCGCCCGGGAGCCGAGCCGCCCTGCACCCGAGCCGCCCTGCAGCCGAGCCGCCCGGGAGCCGAGCCGCCCTGCACCCGAGCCGCCCTGCCGTCGAGCCGCCCGGGAGCCGATCCGCTGTACACCCGAGCCGCCCGGTCGCCGTTCTGCTTTTCTGTCGAGCTGCGCGACCTGCCCTGCCTGGTGAGCACAGTCCCACTGTCACTGCGTGCTCTCCCCCCTACTGCTTGCACTGCTTCACAGTCGTCGTCATGGCTACCCCTAGTGTCCTAGCTTTTGACGCTGAGGGTCGCGCCATTGATTTTGAGGTCTGGCTAGACGACCTGCAGCTGTTCTTACAGTGCGACAGGGCTGATGACCTTTCTCTCTTTGACCTCACCTCTGGCGCCTCTCCTGCTCCTGCTGCTGATGCTGATCCCGCTGTCCGCTCTAAGTGGGCCACCCGCGATGCTGCTGCACGTCTTGCTGTGCGTCGCCACCTCCCTACCTCTGAGCGTGCGCACTTTAGTCAGTACAAGAGTGCTCAGACCTTGTACGACGCTGTAGTTGCGCGCTACTCCTCCCCTGCCACTGCTGCACTGAGCCGTCTCATGCTTCCCTACCTCTTTCCTGACCTCTCTGCCTTTCCCACTGTCGCTGACCTCATTACGCACCTCCGCACTAGTGACACTCGCTACCGCGCCGCCCTTCCTGCTGAGTTTTGCGCTAGGAACCCCCCTCCCATGTACATCGCTCTCTACTACGTAGTCGCGCGCCTCCCTGACTCCCTTCGCGTCGTCAGGGACCACTTTCTCGCAGTCTGTCCCACCACTCTCACCGTCGACCTCCTCGAGAAGGCCCTCCTTGCAGCGGAGAAGAGCATTGTCGCTGTAGGTGCTTCTCGTGGTGACCCTCGCACCCCCATCTTTGAGGGGTGCTCTCCTTCCCCCTTGCTGCCCTCTGTTGCCTCTGCTGCTGCTGCCGACCTGCTTGGTCTTGAGTCGGTCGGCGCGGCGTCTGCCCCTAGTGGGAGACGTCGCTCCAGCAAGGGCAAGGGAGGCAAGGGCGCGGGTGGAGCTGGGGGGGGGCGGTGGCGGTGGCGGCGGTGGCGGCGGAGGGAGTGGGGGTGGCGGCGGGACTAGTGGCGGGGGTGGTGGTGGTGGTGGTGGTAGCAGCGGCGGAGACGGTGGTGGTGGTGCCAGCGGTGGTGGTGGAGGCAGCGGCGGAGGTGGAGGCGGCGGAGGTGGAGGCAGTGGAGGCGGCAGCGGCGGAGGCAGTAGTGGTGGAGGAGGTGGAGCTGGTCGGGGTGGTACCCAGCAGCGTAGCGGCGGTGGTGGTGGCCAGCGCTCGCACCGGCAGCAGCAGCAGCGCTCACGGGACATCCCTTCGCCTCAGCAGCTTCGTGAGTGGTACGCTGGGCGTCAGAGGGGTGGGGGTACTGGTCCCTGCACCTACGTTCTTCGTTCCGGCGACCGCGCGGGTGAGCAGTGTGGGGGTGCCCACGCCACCCAGCGCTGCTTTGGCCGCCTGACGGACGCTTGGCGTCAGCAGTTCCTTGGGGCTAGTGAGATCCCTCGCTGGGATGAGCTTCTCAGGGCTGGTGTAGCGATCTTTGATCTTGATTTTGATGCTATCCTTACTGCTATGTATGTTGTGGATTATAGTGCGGAGAATAAGGGTTACCGGTGTTTCCAGCCCGACCCGGGCATTGGTACTGCTGCGCTAGGTGCTTGTGAGGCTGCTGCTCTAGGTGCCAGTGCGTCTGCGCTCTCAGGTACTGGTGAGACTGCGTTCTCAGGTACTGAGTCGTCCTCGTCCTCCCTCACTTTCACACTTGACTCCGGAGCTTCTCGCTCCTTCTTTCGAGACCGCACTACCCTTTCGCCGCTCGCCAGGCCGGTTGCGGTCTCCCTTGCTGACCCCTCTGGGGGTCCTGTCCTTTCTCACTTCTCCACTGTCCTCCCGTGTCCGGCTGCCCCTTCGGGCACCCTGTCGGGTCTGTACCTTCCCTCGTTCTCTACGAACTTGGTGAGTGGAGCGGACCTGCAGGATGGGGGTGTTCACCAGTTCACTCCTGCGCGTCAGCGGGTGACCCACTGCACGGAGGCTCGCACAGGCCGACACCTGGCCACGTTCTCGCGTCGGCCGGGGTCGAGTCTCTACACCCTGACCGTTGAGTCTCCTCCTGTCCCTGCGTCTGGTCAGGTGGCTGCGTCGGGTCAGGTACTTGCTGCTGCGTCCCGGTCAGGTCCTGAGTCTGCCCCCTGTTCTTGTTGCCTCCTGTCTCACGAGACTCTCCTGTGGCACCACCGTCTTGGCCACCCCTCCTTGCCCCGTCTTCGGAGCATGGCTTCCCGTGTCCTTGTCTCTGGTCTTCCCCAGTCTCTCCCTCCTCTCCCCTCCGGGCCAGGACCTTCCTGTGTCCCCTGTGTCGAGGGTCGCCTCCGGGCTACTCCTCACTCCTCCCACTTCCCCCCGACAGAGGCTCCCCTGCAGACGCTTCACATGGATGTGTGGGGCCCAGCCCCCGTCCGTGGGCAGGGTTACGAACGATACTTCCTGTTGGTGGTTGACGACTACTCGCGTTACACCACAGTCCTCCCCTTGCGCAGCAAGGGTGCGGTCACTGAGGTGCTGATCGACTGGATCCGCGAGGCTCGTCTCCAGCTCAGGAAGAGCTTCGGCTCGGACTTTCCTGTTCTGCGTCTGCACTCTGACAGAGGCGGAGAGTTCTCTTCTCGCCTTCTGCGAGACTACTGTCGTGCACGGGGGATCCGCCAGACCTTCACGCTTCCGGACTCACCACAGCAAAATGGGATTGCTGAGCGCCGCATTGGCATGGTCATGGATGTCGCTCGTACGTCCATGATGCATGCGGCTGCCCCCCATTTTCTGTGGCCGTTTGCGGTGAGGTACGCGGCGCATCAGCTCAACCTTCACCCCCGGGTCTCTCGGCCTGCGATGTCCCCAGTCTTGCTGTGGACAGGGAAGGTTGGCGATGCGTCTGTGTTCCGTGTCTGGGGATCTCGGGCGTTTGTCCGCGACTTGTCTGCGGACAAGCTGTCCCCTCGTGCTGCTCCCTGTGTCTTTCTTGGCTTCCCCACTGACGCCCCAGGGTGGCAGTTTTACCACCCCTCCTCTCGTCGTGTTCTGTCCTCCCAGGACGTCACGTTCGACGAGTCAGTCCCCTTCTACCGTCTCTTCCCCTACCGCACTCCTTCCCTCCCCCCTCCCCCGGACTTCCTTGTGCCGGTTCCCCCCCCGGTAGACCCCCTCCCCCCTCAGGTTCCTGCCCCCTCAGGTGTGTCCCAGGTAGACGCCGTTGACCCGGTCGAGGTTACTGGTGACTCTGGTCCTGCTGCGGGTGCTGAGCCTGGGGGTGCTGACTCTGGGGGTACTGTGCGCGGGGGTGCTGTGCCTGGGGGTGCTACTGCTGGGGGTGCTGGGCCTGTGGGTGCTACTGCGGTGGGTGCGGAGCCTGGGGGTGCTGAGCCGGGGGGTGCTGTGCCTGGAGGTGCTGGGTCTGGGGGTGCTGGGTCGGGAGCTGCTGAACCTGGGGGTGCTGAGCTGGGAGCTGCTGAGCCTGGGGGTGCTGCGTCAGGAGCTGCTGAGCCTGGGGTTTCTCCTGCTGCTGCGTCTCGCCGGGAGCCCCTCTCTCCACAGGAGCTGCGCGAGTGGTTCGCTCGCCGCTGGAGGCGTGCTGCTGAGTCTGGAGGTGCTGCTGGAGCTGGAGCTGGAGCTTCTTCGATCGTCCAGGGTGCGGGTGCTGCCGGTCCCGGAGCTGCTGGACCTGCGGGTCCTCCTGGAGCTGGAGCTGCTGAGGGCGTTCGTGCTGAGCCTGCTGCTGTTGGTCCTGCCGCTGGAGGTGTGGGTGGCGCTGGTGCTGTCGCTGAGGGTGCTGGTGCTGTCCCTGCTGAGACTGGAGCTGCCGCACGGCCTCGGCCGTACTTCGTTCCGCTCCTTCAGCAGGTTCTTGGTCTTTCTCCTCCAGTAGAGGGTCCACCGCCTGTCCAGTCGCAGTCCCTACTAGAGCCTTCCTCTCCACTGCCTGCTCCCTCTCCTTACACTGGTCCTACTGGAGGTCTTGCTGAGCGTCGTGAGCCTGCGTCTCGCCCCGCGTCGCCTGTTCGTGCTGCTCGCGCTAGTGGTCGCAGTTCGCGTCAGCGTCCTCCTCCTGTCCCTGGCACGCACCGGATGTCTCTGCGTCCGTCCACTGCTCCTCTGCGTGCCCCTTTGCCTTCTCCTCCTGAGTCCTCTCTTCCTGCGCTTGCCGACCCTGAGTCGGACTCTCTTCGCGCTGCCAGTCCTACTGTCACGCGTCTGCTTGCTACTGTCGTCACTGACCCCTCTTTTGAGTCCACTGCTGCGTCTGCTCTAGTCGCTGAGCTCGTCGACTTTGCTGCTCGCTGTCGTCTCGACTACGCTGCTAGTCTTGTTGCTGAGTCTGCGTCTGTCTGTCCTCCGTCCGTCGGGGGTGAGTGTGCTCTTGGCACGGACGTCCTAGAGGACAGGCAGGAGGAGTTACAGTGTCTAGCGGCTGCTTCACCTCATCTCGCGTCTGTACTGCTTGCCCCTGAGGGAGACCCGGATGCACTAGACATCCAGACTCCGCGTTCTTACGCGGAGGCCGTAGAGGGCCCCTACTCCTCTCAGTGGCAGGCAGCCATGGATGCAGAGATGGCTTCCTCGAAGTCCACAGGCACCTATGTTGACGCGGTTCCCCCTCCTGGGGCGAACATCGTCAGTGGCATGTGGATCTTCAGGGTGAAGCGGCCGCCTGGCTCTCCACCTGTCTTCAAGGCACGGTACGTTGCTCGTGGCTTCAGTCAGCGGCAGGGAGTTGACTACTTTCAGACCTTCTCTCCCACCCCGAAGATGACTACTCTTCGGGTGCTGCTGCACATAGCCGCTCAGCGCGACTACGAGCTTCACTCTCTCGACTTCAGCAATGCGTTCTTGCAGGGTAGCCTGCACGAGGAGATCTGGCTTCGCCGTCCACCTGGCTTCACTGGGACTTTCCCTCCTGGCACCCAGTGGAGCCTCAGACGGCCAGTCTACGGTCTCCGCCAGGCACCGCGTGAGTGGCACGACACACTGAGGACTACGCTTGCGGCTCTTGGGTTTGCTCCTTCTACTGCTGACCCGTCGCTGTTTCTTCGCACCGACACTTCCCTGCCACCGTTCTACATCCTCGTGTACGCATTTTCGTTTCCCTGGTTAGGCATGCATTTTTCCTAAGCAATAGTATTTGTTTCGCAGGTGCCGTATGCATTTGTTTCTGCGCAAAGGTTTTCGTTCGCTGGTGAGGAATACGTTTTTCTATTCGATGGTATTCGTGTCGCCGGCAATGTATGCATTTTTTTCAGCGCGATGGTATTCGTTTTGCTCGTGTGGTATACGTTTTTATCCACGCGATGATATTCGTGTCACTGGTGTGGTATGTGCATTTTTTTCTACACGATGTGTTGGCCGGTGTGTCTAGTCACGCCCTGCGTCATAGCTAAACGTTGCGTTAACATGCGTCGGATCTAATTCTAATATTCATTGATGATTTCGTCCCATCCCCTTCCTCTCCTTCTCCCCCCAACCCCCAACATCCCATAACACACTACAGTCCGACGTCTTGTTTGGTGCGTAGCAACAATCGTTGCAAAAGCAGCCGCGACTGGCTTTGCGACTGACTTTTCTAACGTATTTTCACACCTACTCGTGCAGGCTTTCTCAAGATCCATCTGTTGCGAGTTATCACAACATCATCAGGTATGCGGTTTTCAAGCCATTTGCACAATGTCAGCAGAATGCGTTACAACAAGTTGTGCTTGCATGTTTTGCAGGGCCAACATGGTAACCCAGTCCTATCGTCAGCCATAATCGCAAGATGCCAATTTTTCACTGTTGAGCACACTCCATCATTATTAACCCCAATGGTGAGTGGTGGAATGGCAGACTTGATATGCTTTTACTAGTGTTTTTGTCTCTCTGTTTTTGCAGGTTATATCCATCTTCTTATTAGCAGAGCTCACACATCTCCACAAATGTGCATTATTCGTAGTAATTCTAGTGTGGTTGTAGTTTCCATGCCTTGTAAGAAAAACCTTGTATACTGAAATTTTAATTTGTGTTTGAAAACGCATACTCATAAAAGAGAAGCTTGAATCGAAAATGTCTCTGTTCCAATCGCCAGCAATTGTTTTTTTCGATATCGCACGCTTAAAAATGACGTATGGTTGGTTCACATGGCAAGTTCACGACCGTCGATCTAAATCTGATCTGACGATGGTCATTAGCGTACATAGACAGCCACGTCAGCATGTCGCAGTTTCATCTCGAGTACGTAATATGCCACGTGACGCACTCGTGAAATTTTTGCAGTGGTTGCTGTCAGAACATACATATAGCTTATACTATTGTGTAGGCTGTAGTGGGGTATCCCATAGGGGGTACAACCCAGTTAGGGTTTCCTATTTGTACTCACTTGATTCATAGTTCATTCATCCTCGTTCTATTCTCATCATGGTATCGAGCAGGTTGCCCCGTGGGAACTGTGCTTAGGGCCCACCACCTTTAAACTTTTTTTTTCTGCCCGGAGCGCACTCCGGGCCCTAGCTTTCACTTTTTTTTGGCCTGCCCTGCGGCCCCTAGCCACCGGCGCGCGCCCGTTCAGGCCCCTAGCCGCCCACGCGCCGCTCGTCCCGGCCCCTAGCCGCCCACGCGCCGCCCGTTCAGGCCCTTAGCCGCCCGCGCGCGCCCGTTCAGGCACCTAGCCGCCCACGCGCCGCCCGTCCCGGCCCTTAGCCGCCCGTGCGCCGCCTGTCCCGGCCCCTTGATGCCCGCTGGTCGCTCGTCCCGGCCACTTGACGCTCGCGCGCCGCCGTCCCGGCCCCTAGCCGCCCGCTGGCCGCCCGTCCCGGCCTCTCGACGCCCGTGCGCCGCCCGTCCCGGCCCCTGATCGCCCGCGCGCCGCCTGTCCCGGCCCCTAGCCGCCCGCTGACCGCCCGTCCCGGCCCCTTGACGCCCGCGCGCCGCCCATACCGGCCCCTAGCCACCTGCTGACCGCCCGTCCCGGCCCCTAGCCGCTCGCTGGCCGCCCGTCCCGGCCCCTTGACGCCAGCGCGCCGCCGTCCCGGCCCCTAGCCGCCCGCTGGCCGCCCGTCCCGGCCTCTCGACGCCCACGCGCCGCCCGTCCCGGCCCCTGATCGCCCGCGCGCCGCCCGTCTCGGCCCCGGGCCGCCATGTGTCGCTGACTGCCCGAGCCGCCCGAGCCGCCCGCGCCGCCCGAGCCGCCCGAGCCACCCGAGCCGCCCGAGCCGCCCTCGCCGCCCGAGCCGCCTGCACCGCCTGAGGAGCCGAGCCGCTGGTCCTGCGGAGCCGCTGTTGCTACTGAGCCGCTTGAGCTACTGTGTTGCTGTACTGCTGTACTACTACGCTGCCCGACCTGTCCTGTCTGGTGAGACCTTCTACTGCTGTCATGGCTACCCGTAGTGTCCTAGCTTTTGACGCTGAGGATCGCGCCATTGACTTTGAGGTCTGGGTCGACGACCTGCAGCTGTTCTTACAGTGCGACAGAGCAGACGGCCTTTCTCTCTTTGACCTCACTTCTGGCGCCTCTCCTGCCCCTGCTGCTGATGCTGATCCCACTGTGCGCTCTCAGTGGGCCACCCGCGATGCAGCTGCACGTCTTGCTGTGCGTCGCCACCTCCCTACCTCTGAGCGCGCACACTTTAGTCAGTACAAGAGTGCTCAGACCTTGTACGACGCTATAGTTGCGCGCTACTCCTCCCCTGCCACTGCTGCACTGAGCCGTCTCATGCTTCCCTACCTCTTTCCTGACCTCTCTGCCTTTCCCACTGTCGTTGACCTCATTACGCACCTCCGCACTAGTGACACTCGCTACCGCGCCGCCCTTCCTGCTGAGTTCTGCGCCAAGACCCCCCCCCCCCCATGTACATCACTCTCTACTACGTAGTCGCGCGTCTCCCTGACTCTCTTCCCGTAGTCAGGGACCACTTTCTCGCAGTCTGTCCCACCACCCTCACCGTCGACATCCTCGAGAAGGCCCTCCTCACGGCGGAGAAGAGCATCGTCGCTGTAGGAGCTTCTCGTGGTGACCCTCGCACCCCCATCTTTGAGGGGTGCTCTCCTTCCCCCCTCCTGCCCTCTGTTGCCTCTACTGCTGCTGCCGACCTGCTTAATCTCGAGTCGCTTGGCGCGGCGTCTGCCCCTAGTGGGAGACGCCGCTCTGGCAAGGGCAAGGGGGGCGGTGGAGGCGGCGGAGGGAGTGGGGGTGGCGGCGGGAGTGGTGGAGGGGGTGGTGGTGGTAGTGGTGGCAGCGGCGGAGGAGGCGGCGGTGGTGGCGGCAGCGGTGTTGGTGGCGGCAGCGGTGGCGGTGACGGTGGGGGAGGCGGCGGCGGAGGAGGCGGTGGTGGCGGAGGAGGTGGAGCTGGTCGGGGCGGTACCCAGCAGCGGAGCGGCGGTGGTGGTGGTTAGCGCTCGCAACAGCAGCAGCAGCAGCGTTCGCGCGACATCCCTCCGGCCTAGCAGCTCCGTGAGTGGTACTCTCGACGTCAGAGGGGTGGGGGTACTGGTCCTTGTACCTACGTCCTTCGCTCTGGCGACCGCACGGGTGAGCAGTGTGGGGGTGCCCACCCCACCCAGCGCTGCTTTGGCCGCCTGACGGACGCTTGGCGTCAGCAGTTCCTTGGGGCTAGTGAGATCCCTCGCTGGGATGAGCTTCTTAGGGCTGGTGTAGCGATCTTTGATCTTGACTTTGATGCTATCCTTGCTGCTATGTATGTTGTGACTATTAGTGAGGAGGGTGACTGTTACCGGTGTTTCCCGCCCGACCCGGGCATTGGTACTGCTGCACTAGGTGCTTGTGAGGCTGCTGCTCTAGGTGCCAGTGCGTCCGCGCTCTCAGGTGCTGGTGAGACTGTGCTCTCAGGTACTGCGTCGCCTTCGTCCTCCCTCACGTTCACACTTGACTCCGGGGCTTCTCGCTCCTTCTTTCGAGACCGCACCACCCTCACGCCGCTTGGCCGGCCGATGTGGTCTCCCTGGCTGACCCCTATGGGGGTCCTGTCCTCTCTCACTTCTCCACTGTCCTCCCGTGTCCGGCTGCCCCCTCGGGCACCCTGTCTGGTCTGTACCTTCCCTCGTTCTCGACGAACTTGGTGAGTGGTGCGGACCTACAGGATGCGGGGGTTCACCAGTTCACTCCTACGAGTCAGCGGGTGACCCACTGCACGGACGCACGCACAGGCCGGCACCTGACCACGTTCTCGCGTCGGCCGGGGTCGAGCCTCTACACCCTGACCACTACGTCTCCTCCTGTCCCTGCGTCTGGTCAGGTAGCTGCGTCAGGTCAGGTGTTTGCTGCTGCGTCCCGGTCAGGTCCTGAGTCTGCCCCCTGTTCGTGTCGCCTCCTGTCTCACGAGACCCTCCTGTGGCACCACCGTTTGGGCCACCCCTCCTTGCCCCGCCTTCGGAGCATGGCTTCCCGTGTCCTTGTTTCTGGTCTTCCCCAGTCTCTCCCTCCCCTTCCTTCCGGGCCAGGACCTTCTTGTGTCCCCTGTGTCGAGGGGCGCCTCCGGGCTGCTCCTCACTCCTCCCAGTTTCCCCCGACAGAGGCTCCTCTGCAGACGCTTCACATGGACGTGTGGGGCCCAGCCCCCGTCCGTGGGCAGGGTCACGAGCGCTACTTCCTGTTGGTGGTTGACGACTACTCGCGTTACACCACAGTTCTCCCCTTGCGCAGCAAGGGTGCTGTCAGTGAGGTGCTGATCGAGTGGATCCGCGAGGCTCGTCTCCAGCTCAGGAGGAGCTTCGGCTCGGACTTTCCTGTTCTGCGTCTGCACTCGGACAGAGGCGGGGAGTTCTCCTCTCGCCTTCTGCGGGACTACTGTCGTGCACAGGGGATCCGCCAGACCTTCACGCTTCCGGACTCTCCACAGCAAAATGGGATTGCTGAGCGCCGCATTGGCATGGTCATGGATGTCGCTCGTACGTCCATGATGCATGCGGCTGACCCCATTTTCTGTGGCCGTTTGCGGTGAGGTACGCGGCGCATCAGCTCAACCTTCACCCAAGGGTCTCTTGGCCCGCGATGTCCCCAGTGTTACTGTGGACGGGGAAGGTTGGCGATGCGTCTGCGTTCCGTGTCTGGGGATCTCGGGCGTTTGTCTGCGACTTGTCTGCGGACAAGCTCTCCCCCCGTGCTGCTCCCTGTGTCTTCCTTGGCT